CCCTGCCACAACCTTACAGTCTCCAATCTCCCTCAGGTTTCCTCTTCTACACAGAATGTAGTCGACCTGTGTACTCCTTCCTCCACTCTTACAGGTCACTCGATGTTCCTCCCTCTTTTGGAAATCGGTGCTGACTACAGCCATTTTCATTCTCTTGGCAAAATCCACCGCCATCTGTCCTTCCTGGTTCATTTCCTTGACACCAAACCTACCCATCACTTCCTCATCTCCTCTGTTTCCTTCACCAACATGTCCATTCAGGTCTGCTCCGATCACCACTCTCTCCTCCCTGGGAATACTCTCCATCACTTCATCCAGATCTTTCCAAAATGCATCTTTCTCCTCCTCATCACATCCAACCTGTGGAGCATAACCACTAATGATGTTTAGCATCAGACCTTCTACTTCTACCTTCAGGCACATCACCCTATTTGACACTCTTTTCACCTCTACTACATTTTTTGCCAACTCCTTCAAGACCACCCCTACTCCATTTCTCTTTCTATCCACACCATGTTAAACAGCTTGAACCCTGCTCCAATGCTGCGAGCCTTGCTGCCCTTCCACTTGGTCTCTTGGACACATAAAACATCTACCTTCCTTCTCTACATCATGTCAGCCAGCTCTCTACCTTTGCCTGTCATTGTCCCCACATTTAGAGTTGCAACCCTCAGTCCTACATTCTTCACTTTCCTCTTCTCCCTCTGTCTCCTGACACGTTTCCATCCTCGTGGTCTTCGACTAACAGTAGCACAATTTCCGCCGGTACCCTGTTTGTCATCAGCACCGGCGGTGGTCGTTGTTAACGCGGGCCTCGACCGATCCGGTATGATTTCACTTTGATGAACTCGCATTATGGTTTTGGCAAAAGTGTTTTACATCGGATGCCATTCCTGACACAACCCTCACCATTTACCCGGGCTTGGGACCGGCACAAGAGATACACTGGCTTGTGCTCCCTCGTGGCTGTTTTTTTGTTTTTTGTTTGTTTCATTAATCTACTGTAATAAATGTTTGTAAAATACACCAGAATACAGGAAATGGCATCTACTTTAATCAAAATTCTTTGGGGGAGGACCTGTTCTGCTTTCCAGCACACCCTAACACTTCTCTCTAGCTCTGATGGTTAGTTTACACTGAGAGAGCAGTAATGCTGGATTAAACATCAGTGAAGCTGGAGTACGCAGGGTTACATTGTTTGTACAGCAAACCCCAAACAAGACACAAGGCAGCCATTGTGCGTTTCATGATGAAATCATGGAGTCCAGGTTGTCTTTGAGTGAAAATGAAAAATCTCTTTGGTGGGAATTTTACATTTACACCCAAACTCTATAATAAATCAGAAAATTAGATTTTATCCACTTCTTCCTTTTCAGATTACGAGGCTCACTGGTGCCCATGTCCATCAGTCACTGTGCAAGAGGTGGGGAACACCCTGGACAGGTCTTCAGTCCATCATAAGGACACAGAGACAAACAAGACAAACGCCATTCACCCTCTCACTCACACCTAGGGACAATTTAGAGTTACCAATCAGTCTAACAGGCATGTTTTTAATATGTGGGAGGAAACTGGAGTACGTGGAGAAAACCCACACATGCACGGAGAGAACAGGCAAACTCAAAATCCGTCCACCTTCTTGCTGAGAGGCGGCAACTCTACCAACTGTGTCACCATGCCACACCTATAATAAATTAAAACAACACAAAATAAATCCATGAGTTGTAGATTTACAGCCACTCATTACTTTCTGGAAGGTCATTAAAATCCGTCCACTGGTCCATGAAACATTTGGCTGACACAGTCCCACCAACACACACACATGCACACAGGGAGAAACATGATCACCCTTTAGCTTTTGGTGGTGGGTGAGAAGATCTGAGTGTAAAGTAGAAAAAATAAACGCACACTTCTACTTGAAAAATAAAATTTCTGCAGTTGAAGAAATTCTGAACGTTTAGTTTATTGCTCTGAAGGAACATTTTGGACATGATGTTTACGTCTGTGGGCTTACTGTCAATAAAGACTGGGTTTACACATGTTTGTTTCCCAGAGTGAAGCTTGCTTATTTCAGCAAGGCAATGCCAAAGAGCATTCTGCACATCTTATCTTGGCTCCGTAACAACAATGAAAAATTGTCTGCAGAGCAGACATCACCCACTGAATACAATTCAAGCCGAACAAAAAGAAACAAAAAAACAAAGCGTGCCCTGCTGAGCAGCTGAAATCCCACATGATGCAATAATGAGAAATCTATTTTGTTCCTCCCGGTGGTTGGCCGTCTCAGATCACAGTCACCTTTTCAACACCAACATTAATGCAGCAGTCAGAGCTGCAGAGCTCTATACTCACAGACGGTACCCATATGAGTCCTTCAGAGGAGAATGAGCTACAATGAAATTACTATTTTAAAGGTTGTAGTTGAACACATCTGTTTACTAATTCAGACCTAAGGCTTGCTTTTTATTAGCATAAGAAATACAGTTTAAAAAAGCAGTTGAAGAAATGGTCCTGCTTGGACATGAGGATTCATTAAACTCGATTGGGTAAACGTTTTTTTTTTTTTTTTTAGCAAAAGAGCAATTTTCTCCCAAAACTGCTTTATTTATAGTCACAATAATGATCTTTAAGTGATCTTTAAGTGTATTTTATTACGTGTAAACTCCATTATTCGTCCTGATTCCTGCAGTCTTGATCTGGAACACACAGTGAAAACGGACTCTTCCAGCTGGTTGCAAAGCTGGTATCGCTGCTGATAAATTTCTGACTAATGCAGACGTGCGACATGGATCTCGGTGCCACTGCAGACTAAAGTCTGATATTTGTGAGTTTTCAAAGTCAAAGTGTTTGCAAAGTATTGTCAATAAATTATAAGTTAGCACAACCTGGTCAAAACATGGTTTGAAACACAAACTGGGAAGAGTTTTTTTTTTAAAAAGCCAATAAAAATCCTCCTAGTGTTTATCTCCTTCGGGCTTTTCATTAGTTTAAATATAAAACCTGACCCAACCAAAAAAAAAAAAAAAGGCCACACTGACATTTTGTTTTACCGCCTTGAGCTTTGATTACAGCACACATTCACTGTGGCATCGTCTCCACAAACATCTGCAATGTCACCTTTATGTTTGTCCATTTGCATGATTTATTTGCAAATATCTCGTATTGATAACGAGACATTTGGACCACTGTGCAAGCACACCCCAAATGTTCTCAATGGAGTTCAAGTCTGGACTCTGTGGTGACCAGTCCATGTGTGAAAATGGGATGCTCTTACCCATTTGCTTACCGGTAGTTAAATCCTGACCTGTTTTTTGGCCAGTCAGCATAATGTTCATTTATCCCATTAAATCCATGGATGACCTCAGCTTATTAAGGGCACAAGCTCTGAAGCACCTTTACCTATCCTGTTTAAAATGTGAAATCAAAATTAAGTTATTCATCAGAATGTGAGGCTCCATCAGGAATATGACTTTTGGTTGGGAAGAGTTGTGAAACATCAGAGCTTGCAAAATTGTGAGGATAAAAAATTAAATAAAGGCAATGAGAGGGCTTTTGTACAAACACGACAGAAAACCCAGCGGGGCTCTGCAGCTCAGGCAAACCTCACAGCAGGAACAGCATTCAAAGCTGAACCCTCCTGCTGCCCTTGGGTCAAAATGACTCACGTTTCAGTTTTATAACTGCAGCAGAGGGTCGTTCTGTCCCAAGGGTAGAATGAAGATTAAACAGGGCAAAGAAGTTTGGATTGTCTTTATATATTTTTACAGTTTTTGCACAATTCGAGTTTAAATGTCATATTTTGTATCCCACAATTTTTTAAACGGATAGTTGATGTCACACTAACTTGTAAAAAGTCTAAAATCTACAAATGTTTTGCAAACTCTTCTTACTCCCACAACTCTTTTTGGTGCAAATGATAAAAATGTCACGGTGCATCTGTCACAGCTGTGGGATTTTTGGCTGTCTTTGAAATTAGACACTAAAATAAAACAAAGCTCACGTTTGACCTTCCAGTTTTAACATTAAATCTTCTCTTCAAACCTTGAAGTTATTTTTTTACTCACTGTATCTTGCATAAAATGCTCTATATGTTCTGATGCTTATGAATCAAGAACTTTTAAAGATACTGATAGTTCTTGCACAATAATAACTTTTTGTTTGAGGCTTTATTTTCAGTCTTTCTGTCTGCCTCTCATTAACTTGGCAGGGAGAGGCAGATGGTTACCATGGTGACCCTAACGAGCAGCATTAACCCTTCCTTTCAACCATGGCTCTTTGTTTTCTACAGCTAACACCTCTAAATGTATTTTTACCATAACGTTTCATTACATTTTACAGGACTTTTTGACGCCTGACATAATTTCTTCAGAAATTTTTCGAGCGTCCACCCGTGGTGTTAACGGTTGCCTTTATGCTCACTCAGGATGAGTCTGCACTGAAGACTCAGTCTGTTAAAAAAAGTTTTTCCTTTCTGCTGTTGTCTTCGTGCTTGCTCAAGAATACGAGTCTGCTCCTCAGATAAATGTTAACGTACTATTTTATAAAGGGTATATGAATGTTTCTGTTCAGCGCCCTGAGATGACTTCTGTTGTTACTATATAAATAAACTGAATACGTGCTTGTGTTCACCTCAGGCCTCACTACAGTTCAACACCTTGTAATGCTGTTAGTGGAGTGTGACCCTGTTTCCCAATTCATTCACTTGATCTGCTTAAACAGGCATGCTGACCAACATCCAATCAAACGCAGCCGCTGCTGATAAAACAACTTCTATTGGCTCTTTGTCCTGCCAGTCAATGGGAGGTCATGACCCCTGCTGACCTGGATTACCACCTGAACCTGCAGCAATCCCATGAGCTGCTAAATATAACTTGTGCCTGAGAGTTTCTCCGGTGAGAGGTGGTGACCCGTCCCGACCCGGTCTGGGGCTGTCTGGATTACAGCTCTACTCAAGGACACACCAAGAGAGACACAATACAAACCAAGCAGACATGTGAAGCAAAGCTTAGTCAGTTTATTGGTTTATGGAAAATATATCACATCTTTTACATTTGTGAGATACTTTCAGATGCTTAAAGCCAATCGATTTAATCCAAATGAGAAAAAAAAAAAACATCTTGAACAAAGCAGTATTTAAACTTTGCATAAATCATATAATACTCCAGCTACCTTCTTCCTCAGACTTTTGAAGTCAATAGTTTAAACCCCCTAACACTGCAGCTCTGCTACAAAACTCCGTCCTCTGTCTGCTCGTCCCACTTGAAAAGCCCAAATTAAACGCGTCAGCCCCACCACGAGTAGTATCTGAGAATATACAGTATATGTACTCTGTTCAGTAAAACAACAAGCAGACTGAAGTTTGATCACTGGACTACAAATTGAAGAGCAGACACCAACAAATACAGAAAATGTGTGAAACGTACACAGCATTTTAGCAGCAGTAATAGTGGCATTTGGTTATTTTTATATATATATATATATATATTTTAATTTTTTTTTCCAACACCCATGTGATTTATACCAAAGTGCAAATATGTTAGACTGCATGTATTTTCATGTTACTGTAATAAGCAGATATATTGCGAGCCTTGCAGAAAGGTTGCACATTTTAAAGAGTATTATGGCACATTTCAAAACCCAACAGAAAACATGTCACACGGCAACTACTACGATAAGCAATGCAAACTTTACGATACGCTAATATATATGTAGATATATCTTGTAACCAAAGTTTGTCATCAATACATTATTATATGAGAACACGTTTAAAAAGCATTACATCAATATTTTCTCGTTATATCTGAACAAATAGATTAACTGCAGTCCTCGAGTGTTTTTTTTCCCCACAATCCTGAAACAGAACAACACACGGCTGTCTCCAATCTGTGCTGCGGGACACGCGAAGCCCACAATTCCAAACACAGGAAAATGACATCCCATTGAAGGAAAAAAACAAATAAATAAAAGAAAAAATAATAATAAACAGCCTCCGGCTCGTTTCAGGGTCTTGTTCTTCTCCAAACTCTTCCAGGTTCCTCACCTTCAGCCGAGCACCAGTGAACACGCTACACTTCAACTAACTGCTCTTGCAATAATCAATAGTGACACAAATGTTACAGATATATAGCTATATGTTTATGTATATACCTCCAGTGTGTACACAATCTGACCGCTACCTTGATGGGTTCAGAGTCTCTTTGGTGACACGAGGAAAAGGTGCATGCAAAAAGAGAGCTCGATTCAGGTTTTTAGTCACCGCAGACGTAAGACAGTTGTTCTTTTTGGTTGATAACTATCTGGGAAGAAAAAGCCAACTTGCTTTTACAGATTAAACAGACTGATTTTCTATCTTACTGCCTTCTCAGTGTTTCCCTTTCCTCTAAATTAATCAGGAGCTGGGTGACTCAGCAGAATCTTGGTCTGAACGAGGAGGACTTTGGCCCTTTTAAAGCTTGGTCCGTTAACTTCTTTAGGGATTATTCTGTCGGTGTTTGCTAAACAGAAACCTCAGAAGTAGTTGGATGTATCGAAGCGCACATTAAAAAAATTTCTACGGGTACAAGATTTTAACGGGGGGGTACTTTTATCGTTTCATGATTGTTCCTTTTTTAAGTTCTTAAAGACAATTTTAGTAGGACAAGCAACATAGAGAGGAAGTTCAGAGCTCTCTTCACTTGGCTGTCATCATCTGGACAAACTCTGGAAAGAAGAGAAAGTTGTTTGAATGCATATGCAAAACTAAAGGTTTTCAATAATTAGACTAAAGAAAATTGAAGAGGTGGGGCTGGATAACAGACTTCTCACCCTCGTAGTTGACCTGACCATCACCATCAATGTCAGCCTCACGGATCATCTCATCCACCTCCTCATCGGTGAGCTTCTCACCCAGGTTGGTCATGACGTGCCGTAGCTCTGCTGCACTGATGTAGCCATTACCATCCTGCAAGGAAAGCAAATTTACTGAACTGAACAAAAATACAGTTGTATCTACAACAAAACCAGTAATCAGCCATGGCAGTAATGTAACATCAACTCTGCTTGACTGCAAGGACTGGCATAGTTTGACACCTTTACAAGTGTTCAAGGGCCCCGCAGGTCCCTCTGTGGTCGTCTAGTAATGTCTACATCTGATGTGAGAGACCCAAAGACCTAACAGCTGCACGTCCAACTATATGATAAGCAAAAGCTCTTGTTTTGAACAGGTACTGTCTGAAGACGTTTGATTTAGGGGTGCAGAAAAAAATAGTTTTTTTGATGAATCTAGATTCTTAGTCCTGGCGATTCTGTATCGTTTCTAAAGGTCCATAAATCGGTTTTAAAATGCATTTAAGTTTTATATTTTTTCCGCTCCTACTCCCCGTTCGGCCGCCGAAGAATTGAGCCGTGTAGGCCACCGTACAGCAAGCTAGTTAGCCAGCTCCCTGTATCTGAATAGAGCCTGCTAGCATGGAGGAGGGAGACGGCGCGATTCAACCCGCCGATTCGTCTTTAAAAATCATTTCAGATCCTACAATGTTCCGGGGGAAGACAGAGCTTCACAAGAGCACAGTTGTTTACAAGAAGTGTAAAATAAAATTGCGGTACAGTATTTTGGATATAAGACAAAATTCACGGAAGATGAAAGCGAAGCAGCCGACCAGCGAACTCTGCAACAAACTTCCAGTCTTCTCCAAAGGCTGTGAAGATTTCCCTCTTCATTTCCTGCTGTATCACAAAGGATTTACGAGCAGACAGCTCAGTGGAAGGTGACGGGTTCAGTTTTATTTTTAATACGATGGATTCAATGTACCATGTAGATTTTTTTTTGCGCGATAAAGCAGCACCACAACTTTACCATGAAACAACGGATGGGAGAAGCTCTGATGCAGCTGCAGCTCAAATGTAATTGTTTTTTCTCATACTAAAACTTATAGACAAGTTATACAACAAACTTTATGCAATTTGTCTTTTTAACAGGTTGAAGAGATGAGACACATCACCTGGAGCCAGCTCTAAATGATACAGTTTATGGTTTATAAATTATAGTTCTGAAGAGATTTTGTGCAAACTTGCACAGGTTTTGAAATTTTGTTAAAGATTTACTAAATATGAATCAATACGGTTAAGACTGTGAAGTCTGTATATTTCATATTAGGTTAAGTTTTGAAAATATAACAAATGTTAGAACAATATGATTAAAAATAACTTAAGTCTTAAACTTAAGGATTATTGAACATCCATCAGGATATAACTTAGGTCTGTATTTTATGTTGAATTAAAAGTTTAATATACTAGGGTAGGCTGAAGTCTGTTTACTTTTATATTTATATATTTTGAATTATTTGTCTGTGATGGACTGGAGACCTGTGGTCCCCCGCCTCTCACACAGTGATGGCTGATATGGGCACCAGTGATACCAGTGACTCAAAAAGGAAGAAGTGGATGAAGATGATGGATGGAAGAATTATTTTTCGTAGATTTGGATTTTTTTTTTAATTTTTTTAGAAAAATTTAGGCAACTAAGCTAACTTAATACTGGTAATTTAAGTTACAGAATTTTATACACTCCTATATTTTTTTTTTCCTATTTTTGGTATAAATATAAAATGAATAAAAAAAATTTGATACAGTAAGGAACCTAAAATGATTTTTAAATAAATGGTCTATTGGTTTACATTGTTGTTTAATCTTTTCAGCTTGTCAGCTACATAACTGAAACAAAATGTTTGACCATTTCGATAGAAAAATCGTTTCTGAATCGAAAATCGTTTTTAAATCGTATCGTGACGCCAAAAATCTGAATCGAATCGGATCGTCAGACACCGAGAGATTCACACCCCTAGTTTGATTATCCATGTTAGTACAGTTTATTATTTAAGCATTAAAACAAGGACACGACAACCGAGGTCAGGTGTCAGAAATCACTCCAACGTTTCTTTTAAAACAGATGGCTGACAAAGCAGCACACTTAGGAACAAGGGTGTGAAACAGCAGACCCATGACCCAAGTGGCTGGTCCAAAAATAACATCGCAGATAACATGAATCCAAGCGGCATGGGAACCATATCAAAGCCTTAAGACTTTACTTTTCACTTCCAGCCCAGTTTCAGTCACTGGACAAGTATAGAAAACTTATTTCCTCCTATTTAAACTGTAGTATAATCGAAAAGTAATCAAACAATACACACATTCAATTATGTTATGGATGGATGGAAATGGAATACTAAAATGTATGAATATTAATTTTAGAACAATAAAAGTCCTTTTAAACATTAACATGATTTATTTTTAAGACAAATTTGGAACCCCCCCCCCCCCACACACACACACACACACCCACACGTTTGGTCAGACTCTACTTCTTTTTCTGGCTGCCCTCATCTGCAGCGATCACCACAGTGAGCAAACTTGCAGGATGCCCTGCCTGATGAAACCTGGGCTCAAACCTGCAGCCTCAGGATTATGAAACCATGTCACTGATCACTGAACTACTGCAGCCCCCTCATACACAGATTACACCAATTATATTATTTAAGTGACTATAAACAACAAAAACTAGGGTCCAATCAATATATGTTCTGGTGAGACTCTTCAGTCTAATATCAAACACAGATCTGTTTAAAATAATTTACCATTTTAAAATTAATTACCATGTGTAAACATGCTTCATCTTGCCATCACAAAGGTACAAAGTATTTGCATCTATGAATATACAAATGAGTCTGTGGCAAACAAAGTACCCAGATCTGCTAATTGGTCTAATCAATCAACCTTTATTTATACAGGTAAATCCCATTGAGCATCGAGGACTCATTTACAAGAGACCTGATTTCAACAAAGAAAGATGACAACAATGGACAACAGCAACAACAAAACGGTTATAAAAAAAGCATACTACAGTTTTTTTTTTTTTTTTTTAACAAATAGGATGGCTAAAAGGAAAAGGTAACAAAACAAAAAACAGCTAGATTCCAAGACAAATGTAGAAAACTAACAACAGGAACATGTCAGCATTGGACCCTGCCAGGAGTCCAACAGATTCTTAAAGACACTTAGAGAGGTCAAGGTCGAGAGCTTCAAATCTTTTTGTAAGATATTCCAGGAAACAGGAGCGGAGTAGGAGAAGGCCCTTTTGCCTAGTTCAGTCCTCACTGAGGGAACACTGCAGGTAATAATGTCCTGAGAGCGCACTCCGTAGCTGCACTCACGCAGAGACATGTAGGAGGAGATGTATGAAGGCAACAGACCAATAAGTGATTTAAAGATGAAAATGTACCAGTGGGAGAGTCTGCGTGAAGTTAATGATGTCCAGTTAACCAGTGAATACAGTGTGCAGTGGTGGGTACGATAATCACAGCCAGTTATGAATCTTAGTGCACCATGATAGACAGCATCCAACATCTGCAGGGTTCTTGTAGGAGCGTTCATGTAAATAATGTCACCGTAATCAATGGAGGGAAGGAAAGTCACAGATACAAGGCGTTTACTAGCATTCAGGGTTAGACAGGATTTGTTTCTGAAAAAGAAACCCAGTTTAACTTTCAGTTTCTTTACCAAGTTTTCCACATGGAGCTTAAAAGAAAGATGCGAGTCGACCAAGATACCCAAATATTTATAGGAATCAACAAACTCAATGGGGACACCATTTGAGGATAAAATCGGAGGAAGAACTGCTGGGACCAACTTCCTATTTGAAAAAAGCATCCCTTTGGTTTTTTCGGCATTTAGGACAAGTTTGAGGTGAAACAAATCTGTCTGGATGATGTTGAATGCAGATTTCAAAAGCTGGAAAGCCTTAGCAACAGTTTTAGCTCGACAATAAACAACTGTGTCGTCAGCATAGAAATGTATGGATGCATTAGGGATGTTTTTACCTACATTATGTATATAGATTGTAAAGAGGGTGGGTCCTAAGACTGAGCCTTGTGGTACACCATTGTTGACTGTTAAATAACTGGAGGAAGTACCATTATGTTGAACACATTGCCTCCGGTCTGAAAGATAGTTAGAGAACCAACCAATGGTGTGTTCTGAGAAACCAATTTCTGAGAGTTTATGACAAGATGTTATGATCCACAGTGTCAAAAGCTTTAGACAGGTCTAAGAAAAGTGCAGCACAGTAATCCTTAGCATCCAGTGCTTCAACAACATCATTAAGAACCTTCAGTGAAGCAGTGGTTGTGCTGTGTTGTTTCCTGAAACCAGATTGATGTGGAGGTAAGATGTTAAATGAGTCCAGGTAATCTTTGATTTGAGAGTTTATCAGTTTTTCTAGAACCTTGGCTAAAATGCAGAGTTTAGAGATTGGTCGATAGTTGTTCAGTGAGGTGGGGTCTCCTCCCTTCAGCAAAGGAAGAACAAAGGCTGTTTTCCAAGTGTCTGGGATGGAGTTTTGTCTTATGGAGAGATTGAAGATGTGGGTCACAGGGACTGTGATGATATGAGCAGCCAGCCTTAAAAAATAAGGTGGAAGTTCATCTGGACCTGCAGATTTTTTAGGATCAAGATCTTTTAACAGTTTATTGACCTCACTGACTGAGAATGGAGAAAAAGAGAAGCTGTGATTAACTGAGGATTGACTTGTAGGAGGGATTTGATTTGTAGAAGTTTGGTTATTAAGTGAAGTGGCTGATTTTCTGTTAGTAACTGTGTCAAATAAAGAACCAGAAGCAACAAAATGTTTGTTGAAACAGTTCAGGATCTCGTGCTTATTTGACACAGGAACAGAGTTAATGAGAAGTTGTGATGGGAGGTCAGATGATTGGGAGGTGCCTGAGAGAGATTTGATGGTTTTCCAGAATCTGTTAGGGTCATTTAGATTTTTGGAGATCTGAGATAAGAAATAGTTACGTTTTGCTGCTTTAACAGCAGTTGTGCATTTATTCCTCATCTGTCGAAAACTCAACCAATCAGTGTCTGAGTCAGATTTTCTCGCTGCGGCCCAAAGATGATCTCTCCTGT